GAGGGTTGCGATCCGTTGCCGGACACGGAAAAAGACAAAAGACAAAAAAAAAAAAAAACTGAAAAGCATACACACACAAGAAAAAGACAAAAGGAACAGAACATAATATGTGAAGAGTGTTGGACAATGTCAAAAATTGTAATACAGAGTAATGAGAAAACCAGCAGAAGAGAGATGGAGAAAAACAAGAGAAGAAACAGAACAATAATATCTGAGAACTTCCACAAATTAATCTCAGGCACCAAACCAATGATCAAGGGAGTTAAGATTGCACAGAATCAGATAAATGCCAAAAATCTATACCTACGCATGTAGTTCTCAAACTTCAGAAAATCAAAAATAATAAAAAAAAATCTGAAGCCAGAGGGACAAAAAAATATCTTACCTAAAAAGAAACAAGGTAAGAATTACACCCAAAATCCCCTGAGAATCTGTGTAACTGAGAGAGTACAGTGAAATATCCAAACAGTAGATTAAAGAACTCTACAACATAGAGTCCTGTACACTATGAAATCAACCTGTAAAAAAGAAGAAAAAATAAAGACTTTCTCAGGGAAACAAAAATTGAGAGAATCTGTTGCCAGTACACCTGTATTGGAAGCAGTGTGGGGGGGGAAAACATGAAGAAGAAAAAAGATAGGTTAGAATCAAGATATACATAAGGAAAATGAAAGAAATAAGTGAAGGTTCAATAAAAAAACTTTTAAAAAATTGTTTATTCATTGCAACATAGTTGATTGTAGATATCTTTGAGATAAAGAATTGGATATCAATATATGTGCAATAGGTGATGTTCAAATCAGGACAATTAGTATGTTCTATATACAGTGTAATCGATTTTTGTGACCCTTTACAAATACCTCCCTTCCCCCATCCACCTGAGCATTTCCTCTTTCTAGTAACCTCACTTCTGTTTTCTACTCTTGAAGTTCAATGTCTAATAGGATTACCCACCATCCTAACACTGTCACCGAGGGGGTCAAGTTTGGGGGGGACATTCAGTCCAAGGCAGGGAAATATCAAAATTTTAATGTTACCTGAAGAACAATATTGTGATTGTTGTATATTTCTCTTATTTAATTTTTAAGTTATTTATTTTCTTAGCTGTCACATATAAGTGAGAACATGCAAAATTTTTCTTTCTGTACCTGGCTTATTTTACCTAACATATTTTTTTCTAAATTCATCCATGTTTCTGTGAATGGCAATATTTCATGCATTTTAAAGGCAGAGTAGCATTCCATTGTATAAGTATAGCAAATTTTTCTTATCCAGTCTTCTGATAATGAACATTTAGATTGATTCCAACTCTTGCCTACTGTAAATAGAGCTGCAATAAACATTGAGTACAGGCGTCCCTTCTTCATAATTATTTCCAATCCTTTGAATATATACCCAGCAGTGGGATTGCTCAATCATATGGCAGTTCTATCTGTAATTGCTTGAGGAACCTCCACATGGTTTTTGATAATGGCTGCACCAATTTACAGTCCCACCAACAGTATAGGAGGGTTCCTCTTTCTCTGCATTCTCACCAGCATTTGTTATTCTCTGCCTTTTTGATAGTACCCAGTCTAACTGGAATGATATGGTATTTCAATGTGGCTTTGATTTACACTTCCTGGATGCTGAGTGATGTTGAGCATTTTCTCCTGTATCTGTTGGCCATTTGTATATCTTCCTTTTGGAAATGCCTATTCAGCTCCTTCACCCATTTTTAAAATCAGACTATTTGTTATTCTGCATTTAAGTTGAGTTACTTGCATATTCTAGATATTAATCCTTCATCAGACGCAGTTTACAAATAATTTCTCCCACTCTGTAGGTTGTTTTTTTCCTCTGTTGTTTCTTGTGCTGTGCAGCAGCTTTTCAATTTGATATAATCCCATTTGGTTTTCCTTTTGTTGCCTATGATGTGGGGGTCATATTCATAAAGTCTCTGTCCAGTCCTACTTCCAGAACTGTTTCCCCTATAACTTCTCTTTTAGGAATTTTATAGTTTCAAGTCTTATATTTAACTTTTTAATCCATTTCTTCCAATCCAATAGCATGGAATATCTTTCCACTTTTTGTTGTGT